TACCAACCACTTGCACACACACACACAAGACAGGGCAGGTATAAATACCAGTTGAAACTGATGAGCATGACTGAGAATCTCACTCAAGATTGGTTAGCTTGTAGTGAAAACTGGTGCAAAACACGAACCACACGTACGATTTGCCATTTAAATTGGTTTCATTTTGTTATTTTCCCAATAAAATTATTTAAAATAAAATCAATAACATTATTTAATGAAATAATTTTAAATATACTTTTTTTCAATGAACCCATTTTTGTTTTGCTGGGTGGAGACAAAGGCTGGGAAGATTTTTGTTGTTTAGCTTGCCCCATTGTTTCCACTGCTGTGCCAAGAAATTTAATCCATGACCTTCTGGGTTGCAATTCCAGCACGCTTCCAACCATTGCACCACGGCAGCTTCCCAACCTGAACTAAATGTGGACTTAATTCAGCATTTATTTGGCAGAAAATGCTCATTACTGTGAGCTTCAGCTTAAAAGATGTTCATTTTTAGATTTTTCCATGTTGCAAATAACAGGATCATCTTCTTCGGAGTGCGGTCACGGGATGTTCCTCGGCTATTAAAACGTTGGGGAATAAACCAAGCGATGTTAATTCTTCGCAAGAAGAGGCCCAAAAGTGGGCCACGCTTATTCTTGACAGAGTTCCAACATTCTACTCGCCGTCTTTATTTATAATGTGAAGCCGCGCACAGATGGAAGGCACCACTTGACATCCAATTTGCCTTTTTAGTTTTCCTTTTTCTTCTCTCTCAGCTAAAGTAAAATGTGAAGGTGCAGCCCTGCAATTGCTCTCTCAACGCCACTGCTGGTGGAAGAGGAAACCTCTACTAGCGTGAGAAACAGAAAACGTATTTTTTTAGAACTGCTTTTTTGTTGTATTTCGTTTGTTGTCCTTCGATCAGCACCTCCGATAAGCACGGTTGGCTACGTACGGTGCGAAAGAAGTTCAGCGTACTGTAAATAGGAACGCACCTCGACAGGATATTGGTTTGGGCCTACTCTTTCGTGCTGACCAGACGTCTTGGAAGAGGTGGGAGTAGAAATGTTGCCAACGCAGCCGCAGAGCAAATCCCTCACTTTCATAATCAACGATTTTTGGGTTTAGATCGCGTTTATTTATAAATGTGTCGTAACCCTCCACCACCCGACACGGCCAATCAGTAAAAATGTGTCACGTTGACAAAGACAAATAGTTCACTGCTTTAGCCCACCGGTGTGTTGAAGCAACAACATTTACAATTTGAGTACGACGTTTCGCTGGTAATTGCAACCAGCATCATCGGGCAATTCGCGAAAGCCTACGTGTTAAACTCCCTCACTTTCGCTTCGATCTCCTGGCACGGCAGTTGAAACGATGGTGCAAGTTTCTTCAAATCCTCCCGCCTCTGTTCACCCATCGAACTAATAAAAATCTTCCCCAGGCAATGGCAACTGCGTTATATAGCTCTTTTTTTTAAGCGACCAGGCCACAAATGATAGTTTAACGAAGTGACTTATCACGTGGACATTTCTAGCAGCCAAATGCTCTGAACGCGTGTAGATTCCAAATGTGGAGGGAAAAACTGGAGGACCCGGAGAAAAATCCACGTGACCACGGGGAGAACATGTATGTATATATGTTGAACTTCTTTCGCACCACATGTAGCCAACCGTACAAATCGGCGGTGCGGAGAAAGGACAACAAACCAAACACACAAAAAAACATGCAAACTACAAATATGCAGCAGGCGTCAGGGTCGAGATCGAACCCACGCTCTCCTGCTCACCAGGCGAGGTCGTTAACATCTCGCCACCATGGAGCCCATCAGTATGCGTACACCACAGTTAGGCAATCAGCAGGTTTGTTGGACTGGGGTAAAGCGTGGATACTCCCACCTCGTCCATGTAAAGCACATGCACCGATACTCGCTGTTTGTATCGCGGCCTGTGCAACTGTGATTATCACTGATATCCGCATCGTGTATCTGGGCCATCGCAGTACGCCAATTAAATGGAGCCTAACAGCTTGTAGGGCCCTTCCTGCTGAAACAGTTAAACTATATCTCTTTAGAAGACGTCTGGTCAGCATGGAAATAGGAGGCCAAATATCCTCTTGAAGGCCTCTTGAGCAGAGCTTGTTTTTGGAGGGGCTCCCCCCAACAGCGATATGAGCGAGCAATAAAAAAGACAAAGATCCCCCGTATAGCCTTAACAAACTGTTGGGGCAAGTGCTATTAGCGAGCACCTATGAAGGCCGGCACGGCACATGAGGGGGTGAGTAGCCAGCGCCACGCCTGGCCGCCTTTGTCTCACTCGTGGCGATGTTTACACACCGCACCAGGTACTCATTTGAGGCTGAGTCGACCTAGGGGAGGCCCAGGACCGATTCGGATAATCGTCGCTGGTGTGGGGCCGTGAGCGGGAATCGAACTCGGGTGGTAGGGTTTGTAGCGCAATGCGCTCCACACACGCACACACTCAAAACAATCGTGCAAAGTTTATCGATTAGAGTCCCTGCCCACATTACTCAGATTTTACTTCATTTTACAAAAATCCATTCTAAACTCTCAAAAACTGCAACCACAAAAAAGCATTGAAGGAACGAGAAGAGAGTTTGGAAATGTGTTTTTTTAAACTGTAACATTAACACCTGAGGACGGCTACTTGCGTTGTGGCCGAAACGTCGTGAGAATTATTTTATTATGTTTTATTTTGTTTATTTTATTATTTCCATTCTACGTGACTTTACCGAAAGAACCAAGAAGACGTGAACATTCATATTATTGGCATAGGCCAAAGGACATAGACCGTACAGAGCTCATCGCCACCACACATGTCTGCTGCCTTCTGGCCAACAAGAACTCCAGCTCTGTTGACTGCACACTCACTCACCGATGGACAAATTCAATTTCTTATAATTCAGGTGTGCACCGTGTCGCGATGTAAACATTTACAGCCCTTTGCCAATTCACCACGGAATGTAAGGCCTCTCCATATTCCTCCAGGTCGGTTAAGCAAGTGCTGGTTGAGGGATTACCCAGATCCAGCTCATACATTACCAATGATGTTGAGAGCTGTGGCCAGGAACTGAACTCGGGTCACCGGTTTCCTGATACAGCACATTCTCATTTTAACATATTAAATTGTTAAGCCACGGATGAATGCACTGCATTTTAAAATATACATTTTACTTACTGCGTGAGATAACAGACAATTAAGGCAGCAGATATGAAACAGCTAAATACGTCTGAGAAACCTATCTTCCCTTGTCGCTCTCTCCCACCACCACCACCACCCACCGCAAAGATCTTCATCGCCCAAACGCAATAACAAAAAACACGGGGGGAAGGATTCTCTATTCCTGCACTTGTTAGCAGATGAGAGTAATGACCCGTAATCCTGTGTAATTGAAATACAGCTCCCCAGCTTTGCAGTAAGCTGGATTTGGGTCTCCTTAGAGGGCTTATTGCGAGCTGCTACTTCGCTCTCTCCCTGAACATGGTTGCAAGCGAGAAAACATTTTCCAGCCCAATTTAAAGCGGGCCCCTTATGTACGCAACGCTGCGGGCACAGGACTCCGAGACGAACCCATACGACTTTTCTGATTTCATTTCGGCCGATCTTGCAACTGAGACTATATCCTGGTCTCTTGAGAGCGACCCCACGGGGGGGGGGGGGGAGGGATCGAACCCATGACCTTCTGTATACCAGGCGAGGTAGTTAACATCTCACAGCATAGCAGCACATTCTCCACTCACTAAACTCACCTGCACCTCACTTATTCAATCATCCTACTCATCCGCCTAATGATACCACACTCGACACTCACTCGTTCCAAAGACAAATATCCCCCGTATAGCCTATAACAGACTGTTGGGGCAAGTGCTGTTCACCAGAACCTATGAAGGCCGGCACGGCACACGAGGGGGTGGGTGACCAACACCACGCCGGGCCGCCTTTGTCTCCCGAGTGGAGCCTCTAACCGGGTACGGTTTAAACGCACGGTGACGGCACCGTCAAATATTGCGCAGCGGTAACGGCAGAGCCTAGCGGGACGTAAAACTTCGCACAGGAAACCTGCACACACGGGGGATAGGGGGGGGGGGGTGCCCCCCACACTAAACCCCAAAACAATAGCTCTGCCCCCCTCCACCCCCAACCCCACTGCACCCCACGTCTCTCCCGACTGTGGGAATTCCTGTACTCGACAGGAAACTCGCCACAGGGAAGAATGCATCACGTAGGCCGACTCCGCGCACTCCACAGCAAGTGAAACGCGACTCGATCGCCGCGCCAAGGCAGTGGCAGCGTGTTCCTCGTGCCTGCATCGGGTTTGTTTTGTTCAAGACACTTAAAAAAAAAATTTTGCCGGCGACCAAATCAAATGGGATCTCGCCGCACCGACCTCGTGACATCGGGGAAGCCAAGCAGGGTTGAGCCCGGACAACGCTGGGATGGGCGACCACCAAAAGTGCCCGTGCGGTTGGCACAGGTGGCGGCCGCGAAGGCACCGCGCTACCAAGGAATCGGGGGGATCACGGTAGCGAGACGTTGACTACCTCGCCTGGTATACAGGAGGTCGTGGGTTCAACCCCGACCTTGACGCCTGCTGTATATTTGGAGTTTCCACGTCTCTCTCTCCCCGTGGTGACGTGGATTTTTTCTCTGGGGTCCTCTGGTTTTTCCCTCCACATTTAGAATCAACATCACGCGTTCAAGAGCATTTGGCTGCTATAAATGTCCACGTGATGATAAGCCACTTCGCCGAGCTATCATTTGTGGCCAGGTCGCTTCTGAATAAGAAGCTAATAGCTCAGTGGGCCTTTAGCTGCTCGAAAAAAATAGTCTAGTTCACAGTTTTAAATAGTTGTCGTGACGAGCATGGCGTGGGCGAGGCCCTCATCCAGCAGTGGATTTGCGAGAAGGTACCGTCGCGAGCGCACACACAGCCGGGGTCGTGCCGGGGTCGTGCCGCGCCCGGCCGTCGGGTGGCCGTGCGGACGCGGCGGCGCTTACGGTGGTGGTGGGACTTGGTGACGCGCTCCGCGTCGAGCGCGTGGTAGTACTCGTACACCGAGCGGCCGAGCAGCTCCTTCGGGTGATACCCAATCAGGTCGGTTATCCTACGTGCACACGTACACACACAAAGACAAATATCCCCCACGTGTAGCCTTAACAGACTGTTGGGGCAAGTGCTGTTAGCGAGCAGCGCCTATGAAGGCCGGCACGGCGCACGAGGGGGGTGGGTAGCCAGAACCATGCCCGGCCGCCTTTGTCTCCCCAGTGGCGTTGTTTTTACAAACTGCACCAAATACTCCTCTGAGGCTGAGTCGTTCTAGGGGAGGCCCAGGACTGGTACAGATAATCATCACTAGTTATTAGCCGTGAGCAGGAATCGAACTCGGACCGCCGGGTTCGCTAACTGCTACACTACCGCTCCCCACACCACGCATGCACACATGCACAGACACACACACATGCACAGACACACACACATACAGACACATACACACGTATACACACACACACACGTACACACGAGTGGCTGTGACTATTCCAATGTTTAGCTCCACGCTTCTACAACTGCATCAGGACACCCCGTGTGCCATAGGCGCATCGAGATGGGGGCATAAAAGCACCGCACGACAGCGAATAGTGCTGCACAGCCCTCTGCTGCATGCCACGTATAGCCGGCGTGTTCTTGCAGCAGAATAAACTTTTTGAGCTTCTTGAGGAGCTGAATGCGGTTCCGGTTGTGAATTCAAGACACAGTGCGGCCTGGTCAAGGCACGGGACAACCCACTCTACGCGGTAGTAGATGCATTCCAAAAAACGGGGCGCACAAAGCGTAGCATGGACCGCACGATCACCCGACCCACAATGCACCGCACGAGAGACAGCTGCCTGCCGAGCAGTGCGTACGGCACACACAGTACACAAACGTTGTCCCACGTCCGACCGCATAGCCGCATCTGGATGAATTAAAAGCGCATAACATGGCGATTTTCGGGGTACGCGGCACGCGGAAACGCACCGAGCGAACCCGCGTACAGCGAGGGAAACCCGCACCGGATATTTGCTCCCGTCAAACGATGTGAGAATTGCGTGGCGCGGCGCGAGTTGCGAGGATTCGTGTTCTGTTTAAGTTGAACCGTGTGCGAGCGACAGACATCGAATTGACCGCTAAACTACTAAAGAATTATTTTTATTTGACCAGGTAAGGCGCAATGAGATACACAGCTCTTTTTCACTAGCGACCTGGCCACAAATGATAGCTCAGCTACGTGGCTTATCGCGTGGAAATTTCTAGCAGCCGAATACTCTGAAACGCACGTTGATTCCAAATGTGGAGGGGAAAACCCGGAGGACACAGCGAAAAATCCGCACGACCACCACGTATGCATGATGAACTGCTTTCACACACCGTACGGAGCCAACCGTGCTAATCGGGAGGTGCAGGACAGCAAAAATGGGGAGAACACGGAAACTCCAAGCGCGGTGGTGCACGCGCACAGACGAATGAATGAATGAATCTGAGAGATTTTCCTGTTGCTCTCCGTTGTAAGTCAGTACGTTGAACTTCTTTCATGCCAGGCAAGAGAGATAACATCTCCGAGCCATCGTGGCACTCCAAAGAAAATATTAGAAAGGGGGGGCGGGAAGTGGGGGGGGCAGGTGTAACGGCCGAGAGCGACGACGGAGCGGTCACCGTGGAGATGGACGTGGCTCCATCTCCACGGTGGACGCGCCCCCAGGAGACGGAGCCACGAAATCGGCTCGCGCCTACGCTGCCGGGTGGACCGCTGCGTCGTGGGACGGCGAGAGACGGCGGCGGCGGCTTGGGGAAGGCCTCTGTCCAGCTGTGGATAGATCATGGCCGCTGCTGCTGCTGACGGTGTTAGGCATAGCCCGGGGGAGAGGCTTTCCATGGTGACTGCAGCTTTGTAATACACTTAGCAAATTTTAGTCACGGATGGTTTTTATTTTGTGTTTGCATTGTGAATAGACCTTTCAAATGCATATTTGATGTTCGGATCGGTTTCTGAAAGTAAATTAAAAAACACAGAGGCATGACCTGCGCCTTTGTCATTGAGACAGGACAGTGGCTGAAGCTGTATTGGAAAGAAAAAAAAAGACACATCACAGAGTCATCTGAGAATAATTTTCAAACGTCCTTTTCATTAAGATGTCATTAAATCTCTGCTTGCATCTCAACGTCATCGTCGTCGTCGTCATCATTATCGTCAGCCATGATCAATCCACTCCTGGATGAAAATATCATTCAATCTTTGTTTGCATCTCAACGTCATCGTCGTCGTCATCATCATGGTCAGCCATGATTAATCCACTGCTGGATGAAAATATCATTCAAACTTTGTTTGCATCTCAACATCATCGTCGTCGTCATCATCATCGTCAGCCATGATCAATCCACTCCTGGATGAAAATATCATTCAAACTTTGTTTGCATCTCAACATCATCTCGTCGTCATCATCATGGTCAGCCATGATTAATCCACTGCTGGATGAAAATATCATTCAATCTTTGTTTGCATCTCAACGTCATCGTCGTCATCATCATCGTCAGCCATGATCAATCCACTACTGGATGAAAATATCATTCAAACTTTGTTTGCATCTCAACGTCATCGTCGTCGTCATCATCATGGTCAGCCATGATCAATCCACTGCTGGATGAAGGCCCCCTCCCCAAGCCGTCGCCACCTCTCAAGATCTCTGTGATGTAGTGATCCACCCAGCACCAGCTAGCCTCACCATTCCTTGCACAATCGATTTCATTTCTTCAGCCCTCCATCAATCCACCGCTAGATGAAGGGCTCTGCACACACCGCGTCGAACATCGGGGCTATATGACCATACTTCCCTACGCTGGTCAGCGCTGGCTCGTAAAGAGGAGGGGGGGGGTAAGGGGGGGGGGAAGCTCAAAATAGATTTTGGTAATTACCCACCACTGATGTTAGCCGTGCCCTTACCCCACCCCCACTTCTCCGCCCTGACAAATTGCCACAATTCAGGGTGGCAATTCAGTTAAAAACTAAAAATAAATCTCTGACTGGTTTCTGAACGCCGTTGCTGTGGCCACGCGGCAGCGGCGCTGGCGGCCACTTGCAGCTGCGGAGAGGTCGTGTGAGCCCATTTAACACACGACCCAAACGGATGGGAGCAAGTTTTGATTTAAAGCTTTCGTGACTGCAGGGATTCACATTCTTGGTTTTTTTGGTAAAGTCACGTAGAAGGGAAATAATAATCCTTACACAAGCGATTTGACACCTGCAGAGCGAGGGATCGATATTAAATGATTAATCGACGCACCCTTACACCCCTCTATATATTTGACCGCGACCTCCCGGTCATTCGCCGCACCCCCGCGTGTTGTCCGGATGAATGGGGAGCGTTTGGCGACGTGACGCTAAAATGAATCAACAAACGCTGGGACAGAGACTAAAAAGCCGGGTGGACCCCACGCCGCCGTTGTCGCTCGACAAACTTGCGACCAGCAACGGCACAAACTACGGTGGCAAGGCTCGTCCACCACCACCGCCACCGCCACCACCGCCGGAGAGGGGATCGGGAGATGCGCCGGTCCCGACCATGGCGGCTACATGGACTGGCGCATCGTGAGACCAAGAGAGATGGCCACAGTCGAGCGGTTGGTGGAGGCCCTCATCCAGCAGTGGAAAGATCAGGGATGACGATGATCACAGTGATGATGCACGCACAGGAGTTCGAACATTTATTTTCTTTAGAACTGGGTGGCCAGCACTACGCCGGACCGCCTTTGTCTCCCCCAGTGCTAATGTTTACAAACCGCGCCAGGCACTCACGTGAGGCTGAGCCGATCAAGGGGAGGGGCCTCAGCACCGGCGCAGATAATCATCACCGGCGTCGGTGGCCGCGAGTGTGAATCGAACTCGGGCAGGCGGGCTCGTCGTGCGCGCGGCACGCCAACCGCTGCACGACCACCACGCGCGCACCAGGCGTGAACCACCCTCCCACACAGCGGGCCCACCTCTCGTCGCAGTAGGTGAACTTCATGTCCATGGCGTGGCGCGTCAGGAAGGTGCGGCTGTCGAGCGGCGTCTCGATGCTGGCCGGGTGCGGGATCGGCGAGCAGAGCAGCACCAGGCAGCTGGCGGCCGGGATGGACGACGCCCTGGGCACCGACGGCGCTCCGAGAAATGCGCGAGGCGATGCCTGTTGCTGCTGCTGCTGCTGCTGATGATGAAGCTGCTGCTGCTGCTGTTGGTGTTGTTGATGCTGCTGCCTCTGTTGTTGTTGCTGCTCCATCCCGTCCGGGAATGACCCCGAGGGGTCACCGCACACGCGCATGTGACCCGTGCAGTGCAGGACCTGCGTGGTGGTGCACGCACGCAGACGAATTAATGAATGAATCTACCAGATTTTCTCGTTGCTCCCCGTTGTATGTACGTACATACGTTGAACTTCTTTCGCATCGCACGTAGCCAACCGTGCTCATTGAAGGTGCCGGGGGGAGGAGGGGGGGAAAAAAACTAAACACAATTTCGCTAAAAATAAATAACCAGCCGTAACGCCCACACGTTCCCCCATATCTGCCACTCCAAATACTTGCATGTAAATGTTTTTGTTTACGTGTCAAAGTATTTATTTTTTACACATCCCATTAACCGCACGGCCTTCTGGGCATGCACCTCTTCAGCAAGCATTGGTTTAACGCTCGAAAACTCTGGACGGGTTTCGACATGCAGTGTCTCATCAGCAACCAGGCTTGCCGAAACCAACTGCGCGATGCTTAGAGGCACAGACCCTTCTCGGGGGTCCTCTCACGACGTCGAAAGATAACCGTTAGCGTCGTCGTAAGAGGACCCATAGAAAAGTCCACGCGACCACGAGAAGAGAGACACGCACACCTCCGAATATACAACAGGCGTCAGGGCGAGGATCGAACCCACGCCTGCCTACATAACAGGCGAGGTAGTTAACGTCTCGCCACCAAAGAAGAAGAATCGCCACTCGCGATGGAGGAGGAGGAGGGGGGGGAGACGACGCTGGGAGGGCGGGGGAACGCCGCTAATCTAAGCCAGGCCTGCGTTAGTGAGGGTCTGGCGTCTGCAGCGCAGCGCGCCACCCCGGACGGAATCTCATTAGGGCCCCCCAGACCGCGCTCAATTAGCGCGGCTCGCACGGACACACCTGCTCGCTGGACGCTCAACATCAACGGCAACTTTAACCCGAGACCCAAACCCAAGTCTCACCTTGAAACTTTGATGCCAGCACCCCGGGACCGTGCTCAATTGGCGCGGCTCGCACTCCGGCACCTGCCGCTGTGCATCAACCCGAATGCGAGCCCTAAATGTTCACCCCGAAACCCACTGATAACCCTACCCTGACCCCTAACTCTAAATGCAACTGTTAACCACCGACTAAAGGCCAAACCTTAAAGCCAACTGTAACAAAACCCTAAACCCAAGACTGGCCCTAAACTTTAACTCGATGCTAAATCATTGCATTAACCCTAAACTCATCCCTAACCACAACTCCGTGTTCCTAAACCTGACGCAACGTATAATCTAACGCCTAACACTGGCCCTATCTCCAACCCTAACGCTGCCACTCAACCCGAATGCTAAACCCAGCCCCAACCTTAACTTTATCCCTAACCCCAAGCCCAACTCTAGCTCCTAACCCTACCCTAATCCCAGCCATAACTCTAACCACACCCTAACCCTCACTTCATTGCTGCCCCAGTACCAATGGGAAACAGCTGATGGGCTACCCGAGGCCCCCCCGATAGCAACCACTGATTGAGTTTCCAGCCACCGCGCACGCACGATACCTTCATGAAGACAATTCAATTACATTTCATCGTAATTCACTGCCGCTTATTTCCTTCGCTAGGCGGGAGCCTACCGTGGATGAACAGGGACCTTCATACCAGTGGTGTTTGTGCGGTTGGCATGGACCTTGGTGGAAGGAATGAAATGGGGCTGCGGGGGCTGCGAGGGGGGGGGGCAGGTGAGGGGGGGGCTTTAAGAAGTGTGCACCGTTGTTTCAGCCGCCCCGACGTCGCGACCTCCGGATGCCCGCCCGTGCGGCGGGTTCACCGTTACCCCGCGGCAGTGCCCGGTGGGGCTGAGCGGTGGCGCGGTGACGCACGAGGGGGCGGAGTGGGGGGCGTCTGGGCCGTCCGTACCTTCCACGTGGCCGACTTGAGGTTGACGGTTTTGCCGCGGCTGGTGATGGTGCACTTCATCCGGACGAAGAAGTCCCTCTCCGTGCCAGCGTCCGCACCCTTCCTGGCAGCGCCTGCGGGGATGGCAAACGGTCGACGCGGAACACAACCGGGGGGGGGGGGGGGGGCGGGTGGGGGGTTCCGTTTCACGTTCGCTCCGACGACGACGACTCCTCGCTGTTCTGATCCTCGACCGAACGTGCCCTCTCGACGATTTTCAACGCCCTTCGCGGCCACGTCGCAGCTGCCCCAGGCCCTCGCGTAGGCCGACTCGGCGAAAAGATTCTGGCGTGTGTCGCTGTGGATCAGGTTCAGCGCGGCGGTGGAGGGGACAGGCCGGGCGTGCGTGCTTCCGGACACACTTGGACACCGGCAGTGTTCGTTGACGAAGGAGTCGTCGGCAATTCTGGCAAATGGCCTGATGAGGCTGCTTGTAATCACCGGCGAAGCGTCACAGTACTCTAATTGTAAATGTTGTGGGATTACTCTCCGACACACCAGTGTGCTGAACTAGTAACTAATGGACACGTTTTGTTTACGTCACAAAGCTTGCTAATTAGCTGTGTTGGGTGTTGGCAGGTATAATGACGACGCATTTATATTTACACGATCTAACTCAATTCCGTCACCAGCCTGGGCCAAGGACCACCGCCATCTCCCCTCGTAGCCATGACGAGTCCGGCACAAGCCTCTCAACGGTCGATGAGATGTCGCTGTTTTGTGAATCAACGTGTGCTCCTCTTCGAATGAAATCCCAAGCGCGCGCCTCTCAGGGCTCACACTTTTCATCTTTTGTTCCGGTTCCTTTGTCGACGCTAATGTCCCCTGTGCTGTGAGCAGCTACCTACGCACCTCGTTATGCCTCTAGCTGCTATTATATATATGCAAGCACACACATAAGGTGGAACCATCCGTATGAAAAATGAAAGAAAAAAATTGAGAAAACCGAGTTTGTTTGGCACGTGAACTCTCTGTGGGGCGCGGTCCTTAAAATCGATTTCAGAGGTAGTCCTGCTGATGCCATCTCTGACACAAGGTGATCCACTGCTGGCTGCAGATGTCTGCATTAACGTTGCATCATCTCGTTGCACGATGCTCACGGCATAACTGGAATGTAATTGGGGGGTAAGGGGAGTGGGAAGCAAAGATCTTAACAAAAAGGGTGAAGTAGTAGGTTTTTACCCTTTAAACTGGTACAAAACTGACACCTTTATACAAGGCATCATGTTTGCAATAACCACAACACAAGCAGTCAAAATGCAAACAAAAAGAAACAACTCTGATAATGGTAATGATATGCACTGTCCTTGAAGTTGATTGGTCCACAGTTGTACGCCTTTTTGGCGTCATCTGGTCCAACACCAAGGGAGACTAGGCTCTAAGGAAAGCTGTCTCGGGTGTGGACCAATCAACTTCAAGGACAGTGCATATCATTACCATTATCAGAGTTGTTTCTTTTTGTTTGCATTTTGACTGCTTGTGTTGCGGTTATTGCAAACATGATGCCTTGTATAAAGGTGTCAGTTTGGTACCAGTTTAAAGGGTAAAACCCTACTACTATATTTTGCCACTGGTAAAGGAGGTCTCATAGTGTAAAAAGGGTGAAACTGTCTAAATAAATCAAGGCTATGTCATCTTAGCCCGGGGTGTTGGGTTATATGTATGCAGTGTCATTCTTTGAATGTCATTGTTTATATATATTATTATTGAATAAAGGGCAGTAATACATCACCTCCATTCACCTCTGGATGTGAGACCATATATATATCAGCCCTTTGTCAATCCACGGCTGGATGGAGGCCTCCTCTAAACGTACATTCATCCACTGTGGTTCTTACTTACCTATTGGTCTGTTACGAGTTTATTATTTAGAGAACGCGCGATCAGATTATTTGGCCGCTGTAGAATGTCCACTTTATTGAGCTATCGGTCGTGATGGCCAGGTCGCTTCTGAATAAGGAATATTTAGAATAACTTTTTTTTTAAACACGCTTTTATGAAATGTACTGGTAATGGAAGAACTCCACGACTCCTGGAAGTGGCCCCGAAGCTTGCCATAACGTAAGGGACCGTGGCCAATTACAGCCAACGTCAGTTTACCGTGGACACTAAGACCCAAGCCGAAAAGATATAAAAAATAATGTTCAAAAATATATATTTTTTTAATGATAGAATATAGTATTGTCATCAGTATGACGTAAGTATACCAAGTTTGCAGTCGATACCACATTGGGAAGTGGGTTAAAATTGAGCTACAAGATTTGAAGATACAACAACAACAGACTGAGTGAGTTAAATAAAAGCGTGTAATGAAATGAGCTGCATAGCTCAGTGGGCCTTACGTGGTAAAGTAAAAAAAGTAGTTTCAGTGATTTGTTTACATTTCCTTTACTGTGCACACGCCTATCGTGTTGTTGTTGTTGTTGTTTTTGTTGTTCTACTGTTTGCTGCTGTGACTTCTTGACCCACCCCTCGCTGGACCATCTGTGATAAAGAGCTTCATAGCTCATCGGATTTCTTCTGGAAAAATCGAGATTCTGATCCTGATTCCGAATTGGTTGGCGAGCAGCCCAGCGGATACAAGGTGGAGGGGGGCAGGGGGGTGGGAGGTGGGGGGCCGGGGGTGGAGGGGGGCAGGGGGGTGGGGGTGGAGGGGGGCAAGGGGGTGGGGTGGAGGGGGGCATGGGGGTTGGGGTAGAGGGGGGGAGGGGGTGGAGGGGTGCAGGGGGGGTGGGGGTGGCAGGGGGGCGGGTGGATGGGGAAGGGGGGGTGGAGGGGGCCGGGGGGTGGAGGTGGAGGGGGGCATGAGGGTGGAGGGGAGCAGGGGGTGGGGGTAGAGGGGGACAGGGTGGAGGGGGGCCGGGGTGGAGGGGGCCAGGGGGTGGGGGTGGAGGGGGGCAGGGGGGTGGAGGGGGGCAGGGGGGTGGGGGGGGGCAAGGGGGTGGGGGTGGAGGGGGTGGGGGTGGAGGGGGGCATGAGGGGGCAGGGGGGCGGAGGGGGGCAGGGGGTGGGGGTGAAGGGGGGCAGGGGGGTGGAGGGGGGCAGGGGGGTGGGGGGGGCAAGGGGGTGGGGGTGGAGGGGGCGAGGGGGTGGGGGTGAAGGGGGGCAGGGGGGTGGAGGGGGGCAGGGGGGTGGGGGGGGGGCAAGGGGGTGGAGGGGGCGGAGGGGGTGGGGGTGGAGGGGGACAGGGTGGGGGGCGGTGCTAAATCCTCCCCGCTATGCCCCCATCGACCGTTGTCATCGTCGTCGTTGTGACAGCGGTGAGGAAACAAAACGATAAACAGCGTAAAAAAAAATGTCGTCAACGGTGGCCCGGTGTGCAAGATGTTACACAGAAGGACCGCATTACAGGGAACTTTTATTGTTCGAGATTTGAGGGGAGAAATAAAATAAAAAAATGTAAAATAAAACAAAGTTAGCCGTCTCGCTGCTGCGACTTCCGATGACGACGCTGACGAGGCTGCTGCTCACTGCTGTTGCCGATGATGATGATGAAGACGACGACGACGATGATGATGATGTTCATTAAAAACAAGTCACGTTTCGTACACCAGGGTCAACAACGCACGCGGCGCGGATATAAAAAATCAATACGGTGTAAAATAACAAACCGGTCCTCGGTGGCGTTAACATTCGACGCAATTTAATTGCCGGAGGAGACGGCACAGAAACGGCACATGTTAAAATAACCCCCGCTAAGGTAAACAAGCCTCACGTGTGTTTTTTTCAATGCTCCATCAACAGGTTTGTCGCGTCGCCATGGCAACACCGCCGTCACCTTGACAACGTCAAAAAATCTCCGTTCCGTCGCCAGGCAACCGCGTCAATTACCGTGACCACGTCACAGGGCCACAGTGAAGTGGTCGTCGGCTCGTTCGAACGTGTGGGACACACACTTACACACTCACACACACACTTACACTTACTTACACACACACTCACACACTTACACACACACACTCACTTACACACTCACTCACACACACTCACACACACTCTCACACACACTCACACACACACTCACACACTCACTCACACACACTTACACACTCACTCTCACACGCACACACACTTACACTTACTTACACACACACTCACACACTTACACACTCACTCACACACTCATATACTCACACACTCACACACTCACTCACACACACACTCACACACTTACACACTCACACACACACACTCACTTACACACACTCTCACACACACTCACACACACACTCACACACTCACTCACACACACACTCACACACACTCACTCACACACTCACTCACACACTCACACACACACACTTACACACTCACACTTACACACACACTCACACACACACACACACACACTCACACACACTCACACACTCGCACACACACACTCACACACACTCACACACACTCACACACACTTACACACTCACACACTTACACACACACTCACACACTTACACACACACACTCTCACACACACACTCACACACTCACACTCTCACACACACACTCACACACACTCACACACACTCACACACACTTACACACTCACACACTTACACACACACTCACACACTTACACACTCACACACACACACTCACACACTTACACACACACACTCTCACACACACACTCACACTCTCACACACACTCACTCACACACTCACACACACACTCTCACACACACTCTCACAAACACACACACTCACACTTACACACTCACACACTTACACACAGACACACACTTACACACACACACTCACACACACTCTCACACACACTCACTCACACGCACACACACACTCACACGCACTCACACACACTCACACACACACAAATATAACAACGCACGGATCTTAAGTCGTGAAACCCAAGCGAGTGAAGCACACGGCCGAGCTTTAGCGGTTGTCTCTTGAACGTCGACGCGTCCTTGCGAGGAGCCTCCTGTTTGCATCGCCCCTGACAATCAGACCCCAAGGGTCATAGGGTCACACGCGCGTGTGTGAGTGTCCTCGCGCATGTGTGTGAGTGTGTGTGCGCTCACGCACACTCACACAAAAACCGGTCCCGGGCCTCCCCTAGGTCGACTCAGCCTCAAATGAGTACCTGGTGCGGTGTGTAAACATCGCCACTATGGAGACAAAGGCGGCCGGGCGTGGTGCTGGCCACCCACCCCCTCGTGTAACGTTCCGGCCTTCATAGGTGCTCTCTAACAGCACTTGCCCCTAGTCTGTTAAGGCTATATGGGGGATCTTTGTCTATCTTTGTGTGCGCTCACACGCACGCACGTGAGTGTGCGTGGACTCACACACACTCACACACACCCTCACACGCACGCGCGCGTGAGCGTGCGCTCACACGCACACACACACAAAAACGCGTGTGAGTGTGTTTGCTCACACAGTAGTAGAGCGGTGAGCGCTACGCTGCGCTACGAACCCGGCAAACCCGGGTTCGAATCCCGCTGACGGACAAACAGCAGTGACGATTATCTGAACCGGTACTGGGCCTCCCCTAGGTCGACTCAGCCTCAAATGAGTAGCTGGTGCGATGTGTAAACATCGCCAAAAGGGAGACAAAGGCGGCCGGGCGTGGTGTTGGCCACCCACCCCCTCGTGTGCCACTCCGGCCTTTATAGGTGCTCGCTAACAGCACTTGCCCCTACAGTCTATTAAGGCTATGCGGGGGGTCTTTGTATTTGTGCTCACACATTAATTTTCGTTGCAGGGAGAGTGCTGAGCTTCTGTTCGTCACGGGCTAAAGGAATTGCGCAAGATATAAAATAAAATATAATTGTACGCGCCGTCGCTTTTAGAGGCATCATCACCATCCGGCGACGATCTTGCGCGGATTAATTTCACTTACCGCAAATAGTGCTGTGATGCTCGCCGAAGGCTGCGTTGGTTTTGTGGATAAAATCACCTTTTGAGCCGTCGGGCTGATTGGAGAACATGTGCTTGAGAATTAATTTGGCTTCCTTCGATTCTGTCTTTCTCTCAAAGGCAATGGCAGGTCCATTGCTCGAGTCCCCTCGATCCGTCCGACTCCCACTCATCCACCGTCACCTCTGAGCACCACGGCTCCCTACCAGGGTTCTTGAGACATGGCTAATGAACGAGGTGCAGCCTCCATCAGCGGTGTCTTTTCGGCGACACGGTCACCAGATTCGGTTTAACAGGGCATTCCGGCAACTTATTAAATTCGACGGTCGTTATTCATCCCTGCGGTCGGCGAAGTGTAAAGCAGAAATTCACAATCCCTTCTTTCAATGTGAGACGTGGCTCACCAAACATTGGATTCTTGAAACTATCCATGCCGAGCTTCGGGTGGTTACCCTTTGAGCTAGATTTGAAGCTTTCGTGACTGCAAGGATTCATATTCTTAGGTTTTTTAGGTAAAGTCATGTAGGTAAAACATTTAAATTAAAATTAATAAAAGTAAAATAAAATAATAATCACGACGTTTCGGAGGCAACACAAGCTTCCGTCTTCAGGTGGAACCGTCATAGCACGACTGCTGCATCTTACTTGATGCATCTTACTTGATGCAGCAGTCGTGCTGTGACGGTTCCACCTGAAGACGGAAGCTTGTGTTGCCTCCGAAACGTCGTGATTTTTATTTTATTTTTATTTTACTTTTATTAATTTTAATTTTTTACCTACGTGACTTTACCGAAAAAACCTAAGGATACCCTTTGAACGTGGTGCCGAGTGGAGGGTTAGCGTGACGGGGACTTACCACGTTTCTGCGCGAGAACCTCCCTGAGCTCCTCCTGGTCACACGGGTGGATGAACTCAAAGATGCTGTTCCCGGTCATCTCCACCTGCGTGCGGCACGGACAAACCTGGCATGATCACCCTCGGAGCGGTCACTCTCGATCACTCACTGCACCGCTATACACTACAGCGCCATACTCGATTGCAAACTCATTTCTTGCGAACAGCTTTTTGTGTTTAATTTGTTGTCCTTCCCCCGCACCTCCGATCGGCGTGGTTGGCTACGTACGGTGCGAGAGAAGTTCAACGTACGTACTGCCGCTTCCGGGAGGTCAAGTTGAATCGGTGACCTCTGGACGGCAGGTCCAGTGAGTGAACCCGTCACACCACGGCAGGCTCCCTCGCTGCCTTGCGCACAACTTTGTGATGTACAAAGTATAGACGGGCAGACAAAATGTCTCCTTCCTGTGTCTGCCTCTCAACCATACATTTTTTTAAATTCTTACACCACTCATCGGCCCCACGGCCTTCTGGGAGTGCACGTTATCAGCGGCATTAAATCCGCGCAAGAAAACTCAATATTTCTCGATTTCGATACGAAGCGCCTCATCAGGCTCGCTTGAATCAATGCCGAATATGTATATTGGTAATACATCTCTACAATGTACGGATGAACTTCGTGAAAAGTTCTGCGACCGCCGCTACAAAGCGACAGACGGACACTGGAGAGGCAACACGCATCGTGTTCGCGCTTTCGAGCTCCCTCGGAATGAATTCGAACAAAGTCCCCCAAACACTAAACGCGACCATGCAACTACAGTCCGCTCTCCTATAACGCCGCGTGTAGTTCTCATAACGCGAATTAGATAGAGCACGATGACCGTTTTTGGGGACACATTTTTTTCATCAAGCGGATGTGAATTGGATATAACGCGATTGAGTGAACGGAACGACGTCGCAGCGCGAGTAGGAATAAGCGGTCGTACGGCTGCCTCGGCGTAGCGTCGCACAAGGCAGTGGGATGCTGCTGGATGCTTCTAGATGCCACCCACGGTTCCTCGGTCTTTATCCGGCATGCGTTACGCATCTCACGTGCTATCGTGGACTGTGCTTTACCCCTCTATAATACAAATAATCTATTACAACCACGAATTTACCCCACAACGCGGTGTTCTTCGTGAACGCAACAAACCCCCGTCGCGTTACAGGAGAAACGGACTGCAGATCGTTGGCCTGGCGCAACCTTCGCCCGGGGCCGTGTAGGGCCGCACGTCACGGCGCAACGCGCAGGCACGCCGACGCTCACCTGCGGCAGTCCCAGGTGCTTGCCGACGTTGTCGGACAGGTAGGTCATGTCGCCTTCGCTCGACAGGACCATCACAAAGCCCTCGAGGGCCCTCAGGGTGAGGGCGTCCAGGGAGCTGCCGGATCCGCCAGCGTGGTCCTCCTCCTCCTCCTCCACCGCCGCTGCAGCAGCCGCCGCGTCGCACCGGGACAGCCCTGTTTGGGAGAAACACGCAGACGACGAGGGTTGTGAACGTCCGGTCAACGTTCGGTTATCCGGTGGAAGGTGGAGGGGGGGGAACTAAAACAGAGATGCCCCCTGCCTCTCCCCCTCCTCCCTCCTACCCGTAAACCGTGCATCTGGAATCTCCCTTCCTCTGGCCATCCGCGCTGCCGTGACGCTTCTCCTTCGCTTCGTGCAGGCTCAGATCGAGTCAAACCTCGAGCGCCCGTCGGATATATCCGCAGCGCCATTCACGTAGCGCAAGGGCCGTTTTTGTTTGTTTGTTTGCGAAGGTGCTGCGTTTCACATGACGGGGTTATCGTCGGCAGTGGTTTCACACGAGAGGCGGGCAGGCGAGGTTGAAATATGTGGCTTCGGCAAATTAAATCACCTGTGCGATGGGAAGCGACAGACGGACGCGGGCCATATCGCCGATTTGGACCGTGATGCTGGATTGACGTCAACGGGATCTTTAACTTTTAACGATAAAGCAGTCCGCAGGCTCACTCAGTCCAATCAACCACAACAAGCAACGTGCACATGGGGAAGCCTCCATCCAGCAGTGGAGTGATAAAGGGTCTATATTATTCTTGTTCATTAATTTTTTTACCCGTATGACACTACTTTGTAAAAGCGGTGGTGGAGTTTTTAATGCACTCGCTAGAAAATCGGCTACTCGAGTTCAATTCGCAACCGCCATCTATTATTCCAGAGCTGCCCTCCGTAGCCCACGACAGACCATATTCCCTGGGTCATCAGACGCACTTTCACCCCATGTATTAGAACGCAACAGTTGGGGAATGCGACGTATAATCCGGTAGGCAATTGCGTGCGTGTGTGTGCGATGCCGTGGGGAGTGGTAGTGTAGCGTTTAGCGCGCTACTCCGCTACGAACTCGGCAACCCGAGTTCAATTCCCGTTCACGGCCAACTCCAGTGACGATTATCTGAACCGGTTCTGGGCCTCCCCTAGGTCAACTCAGGCTCAGTTGAGTACCTGGTGTGGTGTGTAAGCATCGCCATTGGGGAGACAAAGGCGGCCGGGCGTGATGCTATCTATGCACCCCCTCATGTACCGTTCCGGCCTCCATAGACGCTCGCTAACAGCACTTGCTCCAGCAGTCCGTTAAGGCTATACAGGGGATCTTTGTCTTTTGCCTTGTGTGTGAAACCAGATTTGAATAACTTTGCTGGCCCTGGGCACAAGTTTGGGGTGCGTCTTCATTTCAGTCGTCTAACCCGGAGACTCCGGTATATTAGCAAACAACCTGACGTTCATTCAGCGCGTGTACGTTGAACTCACTGGCACAAAGGTGTAATCGTCTCAATACTGGCAAAACGGCTCTATAGTTATGAGCTCTCTTTCGCACCGTAGGTGGTCAAACTGCCTGCATGGTGCTGGTTTTGCCAATCCAAGCACTATCCAGGCTCAAGCCCTTGATGGGCTTTTGGAGAACTATGAGGATCAGGTGAATTCTGGGTAAATGTGGTCATTGGCAAGTCACTGTGGTGACGGTGTTGCTGTTGTTGCTGTTGGTGTTGTTGTTGTTGCTGTTGTTGGTGTTGTTGGTGTTGTTGTTGGTGGTGTTGTTGCTGTTGTTGGTGTTGTTGTTGGTGGTGTTGTTGGTGTTGTCGTTGGTGGTGTTGTTGGTGTTGTCGTTGTTGGTGTTGTCGTTGTTGGTGTAGTTGTTTGTGTTGTTGTTGTTGGTGTTGTTGTTGGTGGTGCTGTTGCTGTTGTTGGTGCTGTTGTTGTTGTTGGTGGTATTGTTGGTGTTGATGTTGTTGCTGTTGTTGCTGCTGTTGCTGTTGTTGCTGCTGTTGCTGCTGCTGCTGTTGTTGCTGCTGCTGCTGCTGTTGCTGCTGCTGCTGCTGCTGCTGCTGTTGTTGCTGCTGCTGTTGCTGCTGTTGCTGCTGTCGTTGTCGCCGCTTGCACTTGGCTACCCTAAGTGGAGGCCGAGCAGTGATTTTTTTGGCTTGGCAATTAAGTGGAATTTTCTACGGAACAACACAGCGAGGCTAAACAAACAGGGCTCGGCGGCAGGATGGAGTGGGGGAGTGGGGGGTGGGGGGGGGAGCTGCGGATGGTGGCGGGCGAGCGGCGAGCGTGCGATGAAGAAAACTGGAACGAGGGGAACGTTGCGGTGACGGGCGTGCGGGCGTGCGCCCAGTGCGTCGTGGTTGGTCGTCAGAGGCGGCTGGAGACGACTGGCCGCCGTCCACGAACTCTTCTTTGGCGCCACGATCTGCCTTCGGTCCGGAAGCGCTAATCAGTTGGGGGCCCCCGGGTTTTTTTTGTTGTTGCTGCTGCTGCTGCGGCGCTCTTTTGCCTTTTCGTGCAAAGGAATTCGAGGCAGTTTGTATACACGCGCTTCTTGTGGAGCACGCGCGCGCGCGCGCAAACGAACGCACGCTGTAGGCGCATTCGCGCACGCGATCTACTCTGTATACACACGCCGATTGTGGGACACTCACGCACGCGCCAGAGGTCGCAAATGGGGTTTGATTCCCTACCCGTACCCGTACCCGGCCGCACCAGGGTCTCAAACGGGTACCTGTACCCGGCCGGGTACGGGTAGGGTACGGGTATCGGGTACCTGATTGCGACCTCTGGGATGAAGCCATGTTGCAGGCGCGGGTGGGTTGATTCTAGGAACTTGAATTGTGAGAAGAGACAAGACGTTGGGAAATGAGTGACAAACAGATACTCACCAGTGACTCACGGCCTACCCATACCCGTACCCGGCCGCACCAGGGTTGCAAACGGGTACCCGTACCCGGCCGGGTACGGGTAGCCGGGTATCGGGTAGGGTACGGGTATCGGGTACCCGGTTGCGACCTCTGGCACGCGCCCAACACATATATACGCGCGCGCGCGCACGAATTGACGGACGGTACAAAGGTAAAGATCCTCCAGTATAGCCTTGATAGGCTGTTGGGGCAAGTGCTGTGCTAGCGAGTGGCACCTATGAAGGCCGGCAACGGTGGCACACGCCGGGGGTGGGTGGGCCAGCTGCACCCAAGTACGGCACACGCACTCGCAGACACTGCAATTTGATTTTCTTGGGTGTGATGGAAACACGTGCAGCCGCCAATTGCCAATGTCAAGCTCTGCTAGCCACGAGAGGTCTTCAGGAGAGAGAGAGAGAGTTGGTGTCGTTTTGCTGTTCCTCCAACATCGAAGGAACACAGACCACGGCGGTTTATTCGCCGGGCCTCAGCTTGGGTTCCACGGCCAACAAATCGCACCGCTGTGGCTCGTCATTAATGTCCCATTTATGTTTGTCACCAACTGCTGCTGCTGTTGCTGCTGCTGCGATAATGAATCCCGGCAGCTCTGGGTTCACCACACTTGGCCATCAGCCATCATGGAGACCAGGGTGGAAAGGGGAGCACACAAGGGGATCCATAAGGGGGGGGGGGCGACTAAGGGGATAGACGCGTATAATGAGTCTCATTGGGGATACGAGGTCCCAAGGGGATAGATAGGTGGCTCCGCAAGCGGTAGACAGCAGTAACGTATATATGCGCGTTGAACTTCTTTTCGCATCGTAGGTAGCCAAACGCACGAATCGGAGGCGCGGGGAAAGGACAACAAACTAAACACAAAGATCAGTCTGAACGAAGCGAGTTTTCAATCTAGACGATTTAAAAGTGCACGGCTCCAGTGGCTTCCTAATATTGGAAGGAAGAGCGTTCCAGACGGCCGCAGGAGGGCATGCGAAAGCGTGCACAGCGGTGACCGTCTTTGTTCCATGGCCAGCCAAAAGCCGTCGCTGTGAGGATGACCGGAGTTCCCGTGACGGCTTACGCTCCTTGACCTGTCACGTTACGTCCTGACAGGTCGTACGGTGTCGTCTTCTTGCTGCGGGGATTATCCCCGGCGTCAATAATAAAGCGGTCGAGGAGTTTTGCGGGGGAAAAAAAACGACGTAAAAGGGGCAGACGTAAGTCGGGGTCATTGCTGCTGTTCCACAAACGCAGCTGACACCCTCGTTGAGACGGAATGCTCTTTCCTTATATACCATCCTCAAGCGCTGGGCACATTTCTCTCAGGCCGATGAAGACGACTGCAACCCAGGTGCATGCGTCGTCTTGAAGGGCACGCGACAGTAGACATTGTATTGAGATGGGATCTGAATGCCACGAAATCTCAAGACAAAGAACCGCCGTGTAGCCTTCACGGACTGTTGGGGCAAGTTGCTGTTAGCGAGCACCTATGAAGGCCGGCACGGCGCACGCGGGGGTGGGTGGCCAGCACCACTCCCGGCCGCCTTTGTCTTCCCGGGTGGCGATGTCCACACATCGCAGCAGGGACTCACTTGAGGGGAGGCTCAGAACCGGTTGAGATATTTGCCACTGATGTTGGCCGTGAACAGAAATGGAACTTGGGTCGCCGGGTTTGCAGCGCAATCCGCTCACCACCGTATCACCACTTGCCACATCGGTCACACACACACACACTCAGATCGACACAGGCCAATTGCAAAGATCCCCCATATAGCCTTACCAGACTGTAAGGGGCCAGTGCTGTTGGTGAGCACCTATGAAGGCCGGTAAGACACACACACACACAGGGATAAACACAAATTCACACTGCTGAACATACCACATGCACACAAGAAAAAGAACCCCCGTATAGCCTGAATAGACTTTTTGGGGCAAGCGCTGCTCGCGGCACACACCCGCACGCACACCAATCCAATAACGTGGAAGAACAGGCCCGAGTACTTTGTGATGGACGCAGGGCGGTGGAGGCGGTGGGAGGGGGTCGGTGCCTACCCCGATGTAACCGGTGGCTTCTGTTTATGTTTTTAGAACAAGTTGTACCTCGCAATGACTTCACGTTCAGCGGGCGGTCACACAACACCCGTCCGTGAGCGCATTACATCGAGCCAGCGCTCCCCGTCCCTTCGCCGAATATTTGCCGGGTTCGCCGGTACACCGGAGTGGGCGGCCACGTGGCTGGTAGCTACGGCTGAAGTGGGAGGTAGGGA